CCCTTTTTTTTTTTTTTTTTTGGGATGGGTAGAGAACAAGACCTGCAGCATGGTATGAGTGTAAAGCCGTAGAATTATCAGCGAAGTACAGGGTTGTGAGTCAGGATTGTCTGACGTTTGGCCGCAATGTTCCGTGGAGTGAGGGTTGCGGCACCGCAGTGCGGCTAGCACGTTCGTTTTTTAAAGCAGTTCCAGTTTCAGTCATGTACAGCTCAAAGCTACCTTTAGATCCGAAATTTGTCAGGATGTTCCGGTAGTGTGTTGCTGTTTCTAGGTCAAAACACAGTTTTGCTTCCGTCTTTGCTTGAAAACTGTGAGCTAGCATTTGCTCACTGAGTTATTTACGCGATTTCGTTTTTGTGATTTGAAGGGTCTTTAACTACGTAACATATTAAGAGAAAGATGTTTTTTAACTCAAATTAGTAACTTTTGATTGGTGCTGTACTTTGCTGAAATAAATGATTTCAGCTTATGCAAAACTTATGTCGAAAGGAATTGAAAGCCAAAAGAATTGTAAATTGTACTTAGAAGAAGAAAGACGTTGCTGCTTCTCGTTTTCGTAATGATTATCTCACGGTCTGCTAACATTTTCAATTGTTGTATTGATTAACAGTGGAAAAAATGTACCGAAAGAATGTATGGTTAATGGCAATAACTGAAGGGAATTGATCAATAGCTTTGAAAGGTCTCGAGTTTTTTTAGAGAATGTGCTAGGGTATTTAAGGATAAAAAAAAGAAAGTTAAAAATTATTAGTTCTTATTGGCTCATATGAAACAGGCAGATGGAGTAGAAATAGGTGTCACTCGTTGATGGGCAGTTTCGCTTTTTACCAAGGTTGCGGGCAGCCACTTTTACCTATCCAGTGATTTTTGATCATTCTTTGTCTAAAGCTTTTGTAGCCGTCTCTTCTAAATGTTATTAGCTTCCCATAAATATGACCATAAAAAGTTTCTTTTCGAATCCCCGGGTGTACAGCAAAGAGTTCGTCAACTAATGCGAATTCGTAACCTCTATAGCATAAGTCCCATCTCTGCAAAATAAGGAGGTAGGTTTGCTAATGAGTAATAACTTGCTTTCATTGACACGTTGTGTGGCTCAAGCTACTGAGTTTTTTTTTTTTTTTTGAATACAGTTGCAGATCAATTGGAAGGTCGCGTGTACTCAGTTAAATCAAAGGAACAAAGTATTGTTGTATAAAGACTATAAACTTAACAATCTCTTATATTTGCATACAATGAGTCAAAATTTTTAAAGTAATTTATTTGTGAAAAAATTTACTTACCAAAACTGTATTATCTGCGGCACCGTACAAGAAAGTTTCATCGTGAAATGGAATATCAGTTAGTGAAGCCAATTGTGGCTCCCAGTGGAGATACTCGTAACTGAAAATTATTGACTTTGTTTTGCGGGAAAATCTTTAGTTAAACGTGAACACTAAAGATTTTTTAATTTTTATCGGAAGGACTGTTTTGTTCCTAGTTATGGGTGATTAGAATTTAGTTTCTTAAAACTTGGAAGTTATCAAGCAGCTGCTATCTAATTAAGAAAAAATAATGGAAAAGTGTAAAGAAACTTACTCCACGATGCGGTTCACCGTTACGTTTTTGCCATCGTATTCTTTAGCGAACCATTCCTCTATTTTGCTAATTTCATGACATTTTGGAGCAATAACTTTATGGAATTGTACAGCAAGTCCTGAATCATACAGCATTTTCAATTCTTTCTTCTCTTTAGGTATCCTGAAAAATGGGTTTTATTTTCTGAGAGTACTTGGTTTTTTTGCTAGCTTTGAAGAAGGAGCATGATAATTCTCTTTCAAATATGTATTTGACCTTCACAGATAAGTAAATCGTTGAAATGTAGGAGCAGGTTAGGTAAATATCTAAAGCAAACCTTTCAACTGAAGAATTTAGTTCAAAAACTCTATATATAAAAACAGTTTTACTACTGCGTTTTAGAGTTTCATCCATTAAATTTCGCAATTGGAATTCAAAATTTGGGGAGAATATAAATTCCTGATCGGAGACGATTATGTATTTGGTGGACGACAACTGCAAACTAGAAACATATAACTACTTTTCAGGTTTTTGTAATGCAGGTGATTACCAGCAACTGGTTGTCGGTAAGAGCTGTTTAATTCAAACATGACGAACATTAATAATTAGCAGTAGCATACCACGCGCGCAATGTTTCTAGCAACGTTGATTTCGTATCCTCTTCCGATAGGGGCATTAGTGACGTCCGGGACTGTGGGTAAGCACGGTTTGTTTGATTTGTAGAAGAAATGGACTGAAACTTTGCCATCAAACCTTTCTTCTAGAATTACGAGCTGAAAGATTGGCCATTGTTTATGCAATAATTCTGGATAATTTTTTGGGTTTATTGTATGGTTTTCTTGTTACTGTAACTGACTGAGCTCGAAACGTTTTACAGTAAAGAAGTCGTTATTAGCGGTTTCCTAACTAAAGGGGAGTAGTAGTGGAGAATGATTATACTGTATTTTATAAACAAAGGGTTTTATCGCTTTTTTGAGCACCAAACACATAGCGAAAACAGTTTGTAGCTTCGGCAATACTTTTGATGCATTCTTTAAACAGTTTTTTAGATTCTGATAGAGAATGCGGTAATGTTTTGAAATACTGTGAAGAACAGTGTGAACCTTTTCAAGAGTTGTAAAGTAGGCGTCAGTTATGTTTCTTCCGGTCAAATAAATTGCAAGCGATATCGGACCGTTCCACGACTCCACCTAAAAAACCAAATTCAATTAGGGGAGATGAAGCAGAGTAAGAAAAGCTCCCTGTAGCGTTTTATAGCTTTTCTATCAAGTCAAAGGGACGGCTATAGGGAAACGTCTGGGAGAAAACTGGTAACCAAAATTTTTTACTGGCCTGTTTAAGAATATTTTCGTTTAGGTACTCATGTGAACCGTGTAGAGCAAGCATTATACGGTTATACTCGTTGTATTTTCGGCGTTCCATAATATTTTTTACTACACAGTAATCTTTGTAACGTACCGCGCTGGATGATGTCCTGAAGGTGATACTTTAAAAATGTTTTTTTTTTGGAAAACCACAGCAAAATATGGTTATAACTGACTTACTTTAGTTGAAAAAAAAGCCTATATTCAAAAAGTGATAAAATTCTTTTGCAAAAAATTTTTATCAAGAAGCGACAAGATTGTACTAATTGAACAGTGAACCGAAAGATTTTCAAGATATCATCTCACGAGAAGATAGTATAAGGTGCGCTATGTTTCTTTAACTTTCTTACACGGAATGATTCAAAAGTATTTTTACGGTTGTTATTGCAACTCTTGTCAAGAGTAAGCATTTTTTTGTTGCTAAAAATTATCAACGTGAGAAGATTGAGCAAGAGGACAGTGCTGAACAGATGCTCCAAAATAATTACTTATTTACAAGAACGATTTGCTGTTCTGTTTCTGGGAGCGTATCTCTTGGAAATGTTCTGAGTCGATACAGGTATAAGAATACGATCGGTATCCAAAAAACGCTTATTTCTGCATTTCGGTTGCAAAATACGACTC